CTCCCCCTCTCTCCCTCCTCTTCTGCCCCAAAGTCCACTCCTCCTCAGTTTCCCACACTCCAGTCTCTTACTACCTCCCACGCTGTCATCCGCTGTCACCCCCTCGGACTCCGCATGTCACCCCTCCAACGCCTGTCGGTCCAGGTACTCCTCCGGCCGCTCGTAAGTGGGTCTCCCACCGCCGCTTCCGCCTCTGGTCCGCTCCGAACCCCGCTTCCGCCCCTCGGTGCTCCCCGCTCCTTGTAGCCCCTCCGCAGTATACCCTGAACCCCCATTCCACAGTCGGCCGTGATCCCCGGCGCCCGCCGATGCCCGGATTCCCCGCAGTAAGCTTTTCAGAACCTTGTGCATTCGGTCTACTTTTCTCCACTTTCCCGCGCCTCGGAAAGCTAGACTTTCCACTAATGCACCGCCGCTTTCCTCAGCCTGCTTATGTAGCGTCAGCTCCGCGTGCTTTCCGCATCAGCGCCGCGAGCATTCCACATGCTCCAAACAAACCGGCCAAAGCTTAGGTCAAGGCGCGCTCCCGCCACCACACCGTCTATATTATGAAAGAGTAGAGGGTAGTTTACTTTCTAAAGAAAGATAAACTCTTGAAAGGGTTTTTTATAAAGAAAAGAATTCGAGGTTTTTATTTCGAGAATCGAAATGTAATGATGATAAATAAAACAAAGAAAATCGCGATGAGGAAAAGAAAAGAAAGACACAAAAGAGAAACAACGATCATATATATAATAACAAGGAAAACAATAACCGAATCAAGTTATAATGAAATCAGGCTCATTATAATGAAATCAATTAATTATAAAGATTCACATAACAACCAACTATCTAACATAGTCGGTATATAGCTAATAAACCAGTAAATCTTACCGATAAATAAAAGATTTCGTTAACATAAACTTCAAACGTTACACAGAGGGTGCGGGCAAACAAATGGACTAAAGAATGAGTGAGAAAAAGAAAGAAAGATACAAGCTTGGAACTAGTGAAGAACTATATACAACAAGTGAGGAAACCTAAGTTGAGTATAAACTAGCTTCTGCAGCATTTCTTCCTCACTAAGCCCCTTGCTGTTTTCCGCAGTGTTTTCTGTCCTGCTTCATCTTCACATTAAGATTTCAGGTGATCATTGCCTGTTTAAGAATGTTCTTAATGCTATAAAAAATCTTGATATGTACCTTCTTTTTTGTTTAATTTCCCGAATGCCAAAAATCTTCAAAAACCTGTAAGGAATCTCAGACAAATGGATTCGAGGTTTGAAACAACAACCCCCTCAAGATGCACCTGCAATGACCCCCAAGCCCTCTGTTGGTTTGTGCAGACCCTGGGCCAACATTGACCTGGGTTGATCAACTTATAAGCAACCAACACATTATGTACCAGAAGAATTCTCCTTTGAAACCCCAACCCAGTACGTGGTGTACCAGCTGCTGATCAACAGGAGGAATCCAGCTTGGAAAACTGGTACACTAGGGTATTTCAGTTAAAGTTTCCTGCAAGGAGGATTCACTGAGACATTGAGATTTTGAACAATTGAGAACATGAATGGGGGAGGGGCAAAACAACTCCAAGACTTATGCAAGCACACCCCAATTGAGAGACTGATAAATCCAGGACATTGAATTGGCCCAGGGTCTGTGCAGCCTAGCAGATGACTTGGGGATTGTTGGTGTGTTTTGAGGGGGTGATTTTTTTTTTCAAACCTCATGGATTGTAAATATGTTGATGTTCTTCTATCAACATGGAGTATCATAAGCTGAAATTGGTATGAATACAGGATTTGGAAGATTTTCTTGGTCTCTGATATCAACAAAACCAACCTTCAACTTCTCACAGCTATGAGGTATTACCCACATATATATTATTGATATGGTCTAATTTCAGCTTTGAAATCTGGGGAAGCAGGGTTCAGAGCTCAACATATGAAGGCACATGGATTCTATTAGATGCTCAAGTGAAAATGAGAATCTGGTTGAAACAGTCCCGTCACAGTAAGCTTTGGCAAATGCAAATCCCCGTCTCCTAATCTTGGTATGGATTGCAGAGAAGATAAAGAAAAGATAACTAACCTGGTTGAAACAGTCCTGTCACGGTGTGGTAAGCCGATCCTGAAGATCCAAGAACATCAAGAGTAATCCCCCTGATCCATGAAACAGTTATTTCCTCCTATCTCCTTCCATGGAATATTCTACCCCTTAGTTGTTTCATACTAGTAACCTTGGGAGCATTTGACCACTGTTTGTTTCCCCTGTTTCTATGGATACATATATTTTGAATTTCTCTTGTTTCATGCTCTCATAGAATGTTCCATTTATCTTCCAACCACAAGCTGGCCACTCCCCGAGATAGGCCCATCAACATTTGGGATACCTTGATTTGTGAACAAGTATATTTAGACTAGTAAACATAAGAAACATTAGACATACCATCCTTAAGAAATCTCCAAAGCCACACCTTTCCTTAAGAGTCCATACTCTTATATTTTCTTGTTACCTTACTCATTGTAGTTACCAGAGAGGCAGCCCATTAAAGCACCCATCCCTCTCAAAGTCTATTCCTCCCAAGAGTAGTTCCACAAAGGTAAGCTTTGGCCTATGAAAATCTTGGGGAGGAAAGAGAAAAGGGAACCAGGATTGGGACAGACCAGGCTATATACTATGTAAAACTATGATTTAGGTTAGGTTTGGGAATCTCACTAACTAGGTTAAGGCAGATCCGATCCCCGGATCGGTATTTATCGGGGATCGGATCAAAAATAGACCCAATACTGGGTATCGGGATTAGATCAATCTCCAATCGTTTCCCAATTTATTGGACAACTGGGATTGGGTGGAGCAATCTGATCCCAATACCCGGTATTGGGTCTATTTTCGATCCGATCCCCGATAAATACCAATCCGGGGATCAGATCAAATACACTCTGGATTATACCAAAGCATGAGGCACACAGCCCGCAGCTTTTGGTTGTTGGATCGGGATCCCAATGCAATCCCGATCCCAATCCAATACCATTTCAATCCGTTACCACGGGATTGGATCACACTAGTGATTCAATACCTTATTTTTTGATACCTGGTATCAAAAAAACAATCCGATCTGATAAATCAGCCGATACCGTATCAGATCAGATTGGTTTCATTGTTGATGTGATCTAGTTTATGTAGTAATCTTGCATCTTCTGCAATCTTGTGTCACTAAGTTAACAGATTCTTGGCAGCCTTAGGAAGAAGCTTGTGAAGCAAGATCACACTTCCCTTTGCTCTACCCAAGACAATTGGGGATCAACAATTCCCTGATTTCCTTTTGATGAGGATTGCACACTTGAACAGGTATGGTTTTCACAGCTGAATAAGTGAGTTTTGCTCATTTGCATAATCTGAGATTTTGACTGGGAGCTCTGTCAGCATACATAAAACTCAAATCAACAGGTCCCAGCCAAGATCACAAATTATGTATTATTATGTCAAGAATTTAAAATCATAAGATCAAATCCACCACAGGGTGTAAACCTCATTTGCACCTCAGGCTTCAAAAACTCTGCCCCACCTGTGGATGTGAAACGGGAGCCATATTGATCTGAGATGTCAAAAAGGTCATTGTGATTGTAAATCTGGCTCCTCTCTACATCCTTGTAAGTCCTGTGAACCAGCCCTGATGTGTGTAAAACCTAGTGTGTCTATTGATCAATCACCCCCAATTCACATATGATACAACACCCTTCACACCTTTTACACCCCAGTATACCTTCCACCACTGAAAGACTAACCAAATTATAGCTTCAACAATTGGATTTGGGAATGGATTGTCCAAATCTTACACCAGCAGTTTACACCCCAGGGTGGAGTTGCTCCAAGGTTTGTAGCAACAGCGGGTTTACAGCCACCTAGTGTAGCATAGCAAGCCCAAGAAATCCCACTGATGCTCTAGTGTTAGTGGTGCTACACTTATGACACTACACTGTGCTGGACTGCTTTTCACAGGAAACCCTTCTGAAAAGTGGTCTAAGACTAATGCTGTCTAGGCTGCAAAATTACCTTAGAGATGGCTTTCCCTACCCCTGATGGTACCCACCCAGTTGGTGCTGGGTGCAATACCAACACTGGGTAGTTAAGTACCCGTAATGGTAGTGTAAAGATAAAGTAGTGAATTTCCACTCATTATCATTACTTTCCCCATAATGTTTGGAAATTTTTTGCACATTACATTATCCATTTTGCCTTCGGCAACTTGTAGATTTATTTTTGAAAAAAAAACCATAAATATGGTAAGACATGTGATACTTTCTGGACATTCATGGCATGTGTTGCTGCCAAAGCTCTGCTTAACCTCTGGATAATCTGATAATGCATTACTTTATCCATTCAAAACACACAAAAACTTCACCATTACACTACTGGCTGAAAGAAAAAATTGCCACTGCAGATAATGTTAATGTATCAGGAAAGGAATCAAGTGCACTACATTACTGAGATAATGCAGATAGCGCAGCGTAAAGTAGAGACCCAGTGTTGGCAGTACTCAGTGCCTGGTTTTGGGCAAAAAAGCAGGCAGTACCCTGGTATGTTTAAGGGTACCCACCCCCAAATACCCTCCTTGGTAGCTCAACCAAGACCAACTGGTCTTGGCCAGGTTGCTGGAGAGGACCCCTCCTTGGCAACCTGATCAAGACCAATCAGGTTGCCGGTGGGGACCCTCCTTGGTGACGTGATTGGTCTCAACCAGGTTGCCTGGAGGAATCTCTGGCAACCAGGCATTGAGGTCAGAGTACCACTGGTTGTACCCACCTCAAGTACTGCCAGTGGCCCAGTACCCGCCAGATAGCACTGGGTGCAGTACCTAGTGCTGGCTTTGGGCCAAAAAAGCAACTGGTAGCCAGGTTCCAAATGGCCATCTCTAAATTACCTTTGTGGCTGCCAACATTAGTCTGATACCACCAACAGCCAACGGAAACAATCCATAGTGTTAGTGGTATAGCCCATGACCATTGTTCACCGAATATTTTTTCTTTTTCTGTCTTTTCACCTAAAATAATGAGACACCATCAGCCAAGAGAAAACATCATCAATAACCTAGTAAAAACATAGACAGCAGCATTTTTTTCCCCCAAGGGTCTTGCAGAAAAGAGTAACAATACACTATGAATGAGTCGATAATAATCTTGGTGGTGTAACTAGCCCATTTGTGATTGGTTGAGAGTTGAATTTGAGCTTTAGTTTTTTCCTTCCTAATAAATGGAGATTGTAATTGTCATAGGCAAGAAAAACTAGCCCAGGTTTTTTTAAAAAAAAAAAATAAAGAGGTCCAGCAATTTACATTATCCTTATGATTTTATGGGGCAAGATTATTAGCAACAGCCGGTTCAGTAATAGTGCCATTACTGATCGAGGGTTGAACTGCAGTATTGATGGCAGATGGGAGCACAGAATTGGGGGTGGATTCCAGAGTGTAGTTTGTTGGTTGAACTACAGAACTGACCACCTCAGTCCTGGCACTAGGGTCAATCACAGTACCAAAGACCGGCTCGACCCCAGTATTAACAGTTCGTTCAACCCCTGAACTCAGGGCCGGGTCGACTACAGTGCTCGTGGCGGTTTTGACGACTGTACTGACTGTCGATCCAATCGCACTATTGCTCGTGGGTTTGATCACATGCGGACTGGTGTTCGGCTCGACTCCAGCTACCGTCTGCGTCCTCGTTTGCTCATTCTCCTGCCTCTTTGCACAAAACGCTAACAGCTTTATTTATCCAACCCGGTAGGTTATTAATGCCAAGCCATATTGGTCAGTCCTTCTGTCTTTGGTTTGAGAAATTGCGGAGGCGGGCTCACCTCTCGTTCAGCCGATGCTTCGGATTCCTTGAAGCATTCCTTGCGGTCGAGTGTCCATGTTTCGCAACTATGGACCAAAAGGAGAGGAGAAATGTGAGCAATTTATGATCCCCAGTTGGTAATGGTCTTCAGGTGACAAAGAAAGAAAGAAAGAAAAACTCAACTGCATGTGTAGCCATCTCCCCTCGGCCATTCCAGACAAAATCAAAGACCTTCCTTCGATACTCATTGGCGCGGGCGGTTCGCAATTGGCCCCGTTTGTTGAGTTCAGAGTGGACATCGGTTGAGAAGGATAGTATCTCCCAGCGATGTGTTGTAGGACGAGATGATGCTCCTTGCCGAATGGGGTGAGTCTTCTGAAGAAATAACCACTGGGTGGTTTAGGCATGTATCGATTGACATGCTGGGCCCCCGGTGGTTTGTCGGACTCCAGAAAGTCTGGATTTTGTTCGGCCAGATCCTTGGCTTGATCGGCAATTGGCGCCAACTCGAAGATCGGCCCTTTGACCATGCCCTTCTCATCGTTGCTCCGGTAAATCCCGGTGATCTTGAGGAAGAAACAGCGTGGCGAAGCCGCCTGGGAGATCGATCTGAGTCCCTTGGGTAGGTCTGGTACCGAGACAATCAACCTAATCAATTCCCCCGACCAAATCTTTTCCGCACCCCACCATATAAATTGATACCATGGTAGGGTTGAGTCTTCATAAAGAATCTGCATGTCATCTAACGGAATATTCTGCCCGCGTGCTTCGAGTCTCTTCAAGTATGCGATGTCATATCTATCCATCAGGGTAAAACTTTTCTTGATATGCGCGGTGATCTGGAGACTCAATGCGAATGGAGTGACGGCTTCAGAGAGAGTGGTGAGGGAGGCGATCGTAGGTCGATCAGTTTCATGACCATCTTGAATATACTTTAGGGTTTGTGGCCTGATCGGTAACTTGTAAATATTAAGCGGTGGGGGGTAATTAAGATAGGGCAAGAGGTCCGATTCGTCCTTGCAATAAACGTCGCACGTCGCCAGTAGTCGGACCTTCCACTGATATTTTTGCTGGACTTTGAGAGAGGGAGGTGAGGGGGCAGGGGACGAAGCGGAACCATTGACTTGAGGTATCTCGTCTGTTGTTGAGGCCTTAGGTTCCCTGGACACCTCGGAGTGTGTGATCAAGACCCTTTCTTCACAGATCGCAGGCCAATAGTCGATTTTGAGATCCGGTTTCCCCTCTTTTGAGCCATCGATCGGTCTATCTAGCTTACACCAGACCAACTCGGCCATTCTGAAGGTGCATCTGATCTCTGAGAGGTCCCGATCTCGATCCTTGTTAACGTAAGGTCCTGAGAAGGTCTGTGATTTTCTTCCGGCTCCACCTCCACCTGGGACTGAATTCAAGGTATGAGAGGGCATTGATCTGCGTGATTGGACCGGTTTATGGGAAGTCCGCGGGGCCCTCGTTCCCGGTACTGAGTCGGCATTCGTACGCTTTCGGTAGTTCTCCTTGGCCATCTCCTCTTCAGCTTTACGCTTGTTTTGGCTGGCCGATCTTGAATCGAAGAGAGGTGAACTGAACCGTTTCGGTTTCTCATTCAGTCCTAAGGATGTATTTACCGAGCCTTGATTTTTGACACCTGAGCAGTATTTGCATTTACAGTAGATCCTGTTGGCCGGTGTGGGCTCGTAGGTACAGAGCCAGTGGAAATGAGGACTGAATTCATTCGCCGTCCTGAACTTGGTGACGTGCTCAGAACCTAACCATGAGAAAGTGGGAGTTGAACAGAAGATTAGAAAGTTGTTGTCGCTTTTTGTTCTCCTGTGTGTACTAGAACCAAGTTCAGTGAAAACGTGTACCGAATAGATAAACATCCTCTCGTTGACCTTTGAGGTGTCGGTAAAGCTTGTAACCGTTCGGAAAATCCTGTACTCTCCAATCTTCATCAGTCGAATCTGTTGATGGATAGGCATACAAGGCCAATCAGTACGGGTGAGATTGATGATGGGAAGACCGATGGTTTGTAGGGTATAGAAACAAGCTGACCTTCGGCAAGGCCCAAGAGTTTTGCAGCCGTCTTGCCCAAGGTTTTTTTCCACTTTTCGGCCAAGAGTCGACACTCGGAATCGTCTGCCTTCCAGTAACACGTGGAGCCGGTGCTATCGACACTGGGACCGGTTTCTCTCCATTTGGATGAATCTCCATCGGAGTTGAGACAGTTGATATAGTTCGGATCGCGCCTGTGAGCGCCTCGGATGATCGTATAGTGGGTCTGAGAGGATCCTTCGTTGGTATGGGATGACATGTTGCGGTGGGAGTTGATTGAGGTCGATTGGTTGATTTGAGGATAAGATGTTTGAATTGGAGATGGTCAACAGGAGTGGGTTCAGAGGATGGTCCCGGCTCGAGTGAGGTTGCGGCTGGTTTTGAGTGTCTCACAGCTGACCGAGGTTGCTCAGCGACAGCAGGGCTGGGCTTGGCTTGAGGCTGTCGTCATATTCATAATTTGGATATCTTCTTTCCCTGGCTCAGACCCAAAAAACCAACACATCATCAAGTATAGATAAATATGGGGACATCCAGAGTCAAAGGAGATCATGTTTCAAGGAACAGTTCGAGGAAAAGAACCTCATTAAAGTCCCAACGGAGCCAAATAGCTGGCTTGCCCCTCTCTTAGCACAAACTCCCAACTGAGGTTACCAGTCACTCATCAGATGATCCACAACTGCAATCCCATCCAAACACATAAGAGACCAGACCTTTCATAGTTGATGTTCATCAGGGGTGAATCCTAACTCACAAACATCAAGCATCAATTTAACACTCATATCAGCAACAAGAAGGCTACATTAATGTGAATTGATCCTCATGGTGGACTTAGGATCAAGCCCATGAGCCTCAACACAAAAGTTTCAGTATTATGTTTGATAGAAACCCCTCTCATTAACATAGCCTCATTATAGGGATCATATAAATGGTGATATAGTTGACTGACCAGATTTCATTGATAAAAATCAATATCAAACTCATTCAACCTTGGGAAGTTGCCTTACCAATAATCCCTCAATGTGACACCTCTTTTTCTGTAATTATCTGCAATATCAAAAGATTGGTGGTAAAAAATAGTAAGTGAGACTAGACAATTCTTTTTGATTTGTTCACTAGAGAGGAAAACAAGAACAGGTTTTTGTAAGGTCTTGGTGTCACTGAATGAGTTGAAGGAAATTAATTCTTTAAACCATCATCCCCTGAGGGTATTAATGGCAGCAATTTCAAACAGAATTCAGATGTTCTATTCAATAAATTGATTGGATCTTCAAAATGTAGGAATATAAATGAAACACCTTTAGAATCAACTGGAATGATAAAATGTGTCAATGATTTAGGCCAAAAAAAAAACTTACTCAAAGCTGAAGGAAAGATCACATCAATTTCCCAAGATAAATTTGAAAAGAAGGATTCAATTAATGATGATATGGAAGGCACAAACAAAATTTATCTTCAATCCAATGACAAAATGAAACAATATTGGATGTTTGTTTATGGAGCTTTTGCCTATCTAACAACAAAGCACCACAATTTGAACAATATAGTGTATACTATGTCAAAGAAGATATCCTTAAACTTGTAAATAAATTTTCTTCCAGAGTCAATGCATTTTTCCGAACAAAAAGAGAATTCATCCAACGGTAGACCAGAAATGAAAACAGTCTATTTTGAATCTTTCAAGTTTTCTAATATCCTTTAATGGTGTATCATTATGCGGTTTCTCAAAACCCTAGTGAAATAGATTTGAAAGAGTACACAAAATAAGTCTCTTTGATCCTCAATTGGATTGTCAGTCTGTTAAAACACTTGAAACATAGCTTCATATCCCGCACTGGATGTGCAGTAAAATAAACCTGGATATGTAGCATTTTTATATTTTTTTTGTTCACCTCTTCACACCATTTTTTTAAAAAAAAAACACTGAATATCCAGTTTTTTTACTCCATATCCAGTACTGGATATGAGGTAGTGTTGAAAGTGCACTTGAAACATAACTTCATATCCCGCACTGGATGTGCAGTAAAATAAACCTGGATATGTAGTATTTTAATTTTTTTTTGTTCACCTCTTCACACCATTTTTTTTTTTTAAAAAAAACACTGAATATCCAGTTTTTGTTACTCCATATCCAGTACTGGATATGAGGTAGTGTTGAAAGTGAGTATTTTTTGACATTTTAAATTTATTTCCCACACTTTAAGGCATGTTTAGAGTTATGGTAACAATGAATTTGCATCAAAATGAAAACTATATCTTGAATACTGCATTTGACATGTTTCTTTAATAAATTCTTACACGCTTAATTATCCTTATTTTGTGGAGTTTTAAATTCATTTCCTAAACTTTGACAGGTTTTAAAATTGATGGCTGTATCCATTTTGCATTCAAACAAAATTTGTATATGGTACAAATTATGCAAGAAACAGGGTACACTCATCTATTAAGATTGAAGCTTGTATTTTTAGTGATATTGGACTTCACCATTCAATTATAAACATTTTTAAATGTAGGAAATGAATTTAAAATCTAAAAAAATGCTTCAAATCAGGCCGGTAAAAATCAATCAAAAAAACATAAAAAAAAACCTGTCCAACGCAGTATTCAGTAACAAGCACTGATTTTCATGTAAAATGGTTGTTACCATCATTGTTATCATGTCTTGAAGTGTGGGAAATAAATTTGAAATGTCAAAAAATAATGAAAATTAAGCTGTAAAAAATTAAGTGAAAAAAGTGTCTAATTTCAGTATTAAAAATTAACCATTGAGTTTTAAGAAAATCGAATGTTACCATCAAATTCTGCATGTATTAAAACCTAGGAAATAAGTTTAAAATTTTAAAAAAATATAAAAAATAAGGTAAAAACATGTATGCAAACAATTAAATGAAAAAGTGATGAATTAATTAAAAAAAACGTGTCAAATGCAGCATTCAAGGTATATTTTTCAATTTGGGGAAAAAATGGTTGTTACCATAATTTTAAACATGTCTTAAAGTGTAGCAAATAAATTTAAAATGTCAAAAAATGATGAAAATTAAGCTGTAAAAAATCAAGTGAAAAAATGGGTCTAATTTCAGTATTAAAAATGAACCGTTGAGTTTTAAAAAAATTTGATTGCACCATTAAATTCTAGGCACAGTGAAACCTAGGAAATAAATTTAAAATTTCCAAAAAACATAAAAAATAAGGTACATACATACATGCATGCAAACAAATAATTGAAAAATGAGTGGAAAAAAAGAATTAATAATCCAATGTCATTTTTATGAGAAATGGTGTTTACCATTAAATTCTACACCTTTTAAAGTGTAGGAAACAACTTTAAAAATCCAAAAAAAAACTTGAAAAATTAGCGGTAAAAAATTAAATAAAAAACTGCGTCTACACGCGGAATCCGTGTGTGCTGCGCGCAGCAGAAACTGCGTGTAAACGCGGATTTACCGTGTGTTTTTATTAACACCCTTAATTTTTTACCGCTTATTTTTTGAGTTTTTTTCCAAATTTTAAAATTTATTCCTACACTATGAAAGGTGGAGAATTTAATGGTCAAGTCCATTTTCTATAAAAATGACTTTGATTTTTTTTCTGCTCACTCATTTTTACAATTAAATGTTACTGGCTTGTTTTTCACTACTTTTTGGCATTGTAAAATTGTTTGCTACACTTTGAAAGGTGGAGAATTCAATGGCAATATACCAGCTGATCGGGAGGAAAACCTCCCGATGAACTGGGATTAAGACCAGCTCATCAAGAGGTTTTCATCCCAATGAGCTGGTACACAGTCCAGCTCATCGGGAGGCTTTCCTCCCGATGGGCTGGATTCAAAGCCATCTTGTTGGGAGGAAAGCCTCCCGACAAGAACCTATGAGTTTATATAGTCTTCGGGCTGGGAGGAACCCCCTCCCAGGCTTTTTTTTCCTTTTTTCTCATGATCCTCCACCGCCGTCCCATAGGACCCATGCCTGGGTCCTATGGGATGGCAGCGGTCCTAAACCCGGCCTACACTCTGTAGATTGGCGTGCGGGCCGGCACGCCAATTTGCTTTGGCGTGCAGGCACGCACGCCAATCCACACCTGGCATGTGGTTTGGCGTGCACAATGGGGGCTGGTGTGCGTTTATCAAATCCCCTTTTTGAGGTTTTTTTTTGTTTGCTTTGATGTCAAAGAATTCAGAGCCAATTGCTCTGGACCTGTCAAACTGCCAGAGCTGCATCCAGGTTCCGCACAGGGCAAACCCAATGACAAAGATTTGGATGGGCTGAGCTTTGAAGATGTGGCAGATGTCTTTGGCCAAGGACATGGCAGCCTTTGAGGCATCTGATTTGTTCTTCTTGAGCTTGAGAGCGGATCATAACATCTTCAATGTGATTTTTGTTTTCCAAGTTCACGGACATGATTGCACCATCAAACTTGCGTATCACTTCTAGACCCTTCAAAGGAATGGTAGGTTGACTCTTCCAAGTACGAGAATTCCAAATTTGTGGGCTTTGTTTGACGACCTGGTCAAAAAAAGAAGTGATCCAATCCAACATAGAACCCTCTGTTGTGTCTTTTAAGGTTTCTTCATACTTTTCGTTAATAAAGCTTTTGTCGGGTTCCAGGCGCAAAGCAGGATCAAAGGTGCGCTGCTGGATGAAACACTCTACCAAACCTGGGACATTATTGTACATTAATCCCTGCAATTCTTGTCTGAGCCTAGGCATGAAGTGACGAAGCAGGTCGGAAGAATTGGTGAGGCTAGATGTGGTGCCGGTCCTCAGCGGGGTTGGTATGAATGGTAAAGGTGTTTTCCCTACACTGTGAATCGGGATCTGATTCGATGATTTGTGCGCAAAGAAAATGTATCTGTTGCTTGATTACTGTCAAAGAATATGAGAAGATGTGTGAGATGGCAATTGATTATATTAAGATGGGTTGATGACTGCTCCTGTCAAGCCCGAAGTAATGATGCTTAGTGAAGCGAGATGGTTGCGCAGACTGTTGTGAAGGTTGCCAGCTGGTTCTGTGTGGATGATGTTGTCGAGGGGGTTGTGATGAGGATTGAGTGGTGTGGTGGTGAGGAGTGCTATCTTCTCATTAAGAATACAAACACAGACCTGGCCACACTCAAAAAAAAAAACAAAAACCCACCACCATCGACAAAAAACATTAAACCAGAAACCAACCAAACCGAAGCAACCAACGAACGTCGAGATGCAAGACTTACTAGAAGAGTTCGACCCACTCTCAATCAACAAACACAACCACATCGAACTCATCAGCAACACCACCACCACAACCCACAAGCCAACTAAGAACTACCAAAAACAACAGCAGAACACAAACATCAGAACAACCTCAGCAACCTCAAACTCAAACCCACTCTTCACAACAACAACAACCAACACAACAGCAACAGCAGCAACGACCAACGATCAGAGTATCGGAAAAATCAAACCACAGGCCGATCATCTCTCCTCAAACGACCTCGATCCACTCGGATTCCTAACAGACACCCACCAATCATCAACTCTACCAAACACTCAAGAGCACCAAAAATCACTACTACTAGACGCTCAGATTCGATCAAAGTTCAGGCAGGATGCACTCGCCAAACATCTCGCACATGAACCCTTCCGAGCTCAATCACCAGCACTCGAACTTCCTCCTCCGCCACTCAGCAGTCATCCCAACTCCACCTACCCACACAAACCACTGATCACACTCTCCAAATTAGACCAAGAACCTATGACCTGCTTCATCGATCCCACTACCTCCAAATGCCTCAGTCCACCTCCTCCTCCTCCTCCTTCGCAAGATTCTGCCGAAACCTCGCCTCCTAATCCTCCCACAAACTCGATCAAGATCTCGTCTAAAATCTTCCAAAATCAGGCCAACAAATCCAGAGGATCACTATCAAACAAGACCAATGAGACTCCTAAGCGGAATCAGCATATCCCCTCATCTGCTAGTCAAGAAGAGAATAAGACTATCAATGCCAGGTCAGAACCGAGGATGACGAAGGCTGTCGATCAACATAAGTTGGCGGCAGCCTTGCTCGAAGATTTCGATGAATTCGTCTCCGCTAGTGGCTCGGCTTCCACATCATCTACCTCAAAGAAAGAGGTCCCGATCGACCATCATGTTCCTCGAGAGTTTCAGACCTTCTCCACTCGTTCCTCACCCGCTCCTCCAGCAGCTAATAGACCTCAACTAAATAATAATAATACTTATCAGAATAGCGGCAATTCTACTCCCCCCTCGTTCTTCGAAGGCCATGAGGGGCGTCCTAGTCCGATCCAATTCGTCGGCGCTGATTCTCAATCTCAACTAGTAATGGACGACGAATTGGCTGAAGGAGTGAGTATTTCCCTTCTTTTGGAAAACAATGATAACCAAAATAAAAAAGAATAACCAAATCAATGTTTTGCTGGGTTTGTGGTGGGATGGAAAAGATCAGATTACATTTACCATCCAGATTGAAGATCCCATCGGTATGGAAACTGATGTATTCGATCGACCAACACGGCACCTCACTAGGCACCTTGTACGAGAAGGTCAGCTCGATATCCTCGACCAGTGGGACCATGGCTGGCTGCATCTTGGCCTTGAAAGACCAAGACGGGAACCGCTTCGGAGCGTTCGTTAACGAGGCGTTCAAGCCTTCTAAAGAGTATTATGGGACTGGCGAATGGTCTGCTGCGTTCCTTTCCACCTTTTCTGGCAGGTTTTTATTGACTTTGGGATCTTTTCCGATCGGCGCCGGTTAGCTTTTTATGGAAAGCAGTCATGTTCGAACCTGACGATTTTCGCATCGGCGTCACCGTTAAAGTCTATCTTTGGACTGGAGCTAACGATTACATGATCTTGAGTGATCATGATCTCTTGAGTATTGGTGGAGGGTAAGTCTCCTGTCTTCTCAATCTTCGTCTTTTTTTTTCTCTCCCCCCTCCCCCCTTTTTTTTTGGGGGGGGGGGGGCTTGAGAAATTGGCGAAGAAGATGTGAATGAAACTGAATTGGATTGGTGTGACATTGCTTTCCACTGAAAAAAAAAAGGGATGGGAAGTTTGGCTTATGGATCGATTCGAATTTGGATAAAGGAGCCTCGGCAAGTTGTCCGGCGTTTAATAACGAGGTCCTCTGTTCGATCACCAACAAGCATCCGAGTGATCGCACACAAGATGACGGAACGTTCGAGGTGATCGCCTTGGAATGCTGGACCGTCTCCGTCTCTTAATCGTTCCATTTTTCTCCCTCCTTTTTCACACGTGTTCCACCTGTTCCTCTTTTCTTTTTCCACACACACACACTCTCTCTCGCTCTTCCACCTATTAAACTTGTTTCATTTTTTTTTCTTCTCGATCTCACTTGTCTATAACCTTTGTTTTTTCTTTACTCATTAGTATAGCCTGCAGCCCGTATTTGTATCTTACATGATATATTAGAATTCCAACTATTCAGTCTGCTTCAGCTTCAGCTTCATTGTGAATAGCCTTCCGTTCTTCATTTTTTTTTCCTTTTGTTGATTCATCTTTTTGAAGTCTCATTAGCTGTAGACATCAATAAATATGATATCTACCAATCTTTATATGTGTGTTTTTGCTTGGGTATGTATGATATGTGTGTGTAAGCTTTTGTTAATAGATGCGAAAGAGATACGCCTTTTTACTTGAGTTTGTGTGCCACTTTCCACATGGCAAGACTTGTGAGGATTAGGTTTGCTTTTTGAGGTCTTAGCACCCAAGACCTTAGACCATATAGCTTGATTGGTCAAAGATTGGGGGAACTGGTATGGCGAATGTAAAAGGTGAAAATCCTCTGGAATTTGAGGCTTCAAACCGGACAGCCTCTCATTTTGAATCATTCGAGTAAGATGAATGTATTGAGAACACCGATCTGATGGTCCACCATACCTCTCGTAAATTTTTGCACAACGATTTGAAGGCAATTAAATGTTCAGGCCAAAAATCTCATGCCTCCAAGCTATGTATACAGATTGGAAACGTTCCTGGTAAACCACCCATCCTTTTGGAGGGGACGCCTTGCACCAGTTATAAGGCTACGGCACTTCCTCCCAATTAGCAACTAAAGTATTGTTTGGTGAAGGTAGGATATTGAGCATCTTGAAACCACATATCCAAAATGATCCCTCTCGATTCTCGTGAAGATTCAGGTGGATGTGGTGCCCTGTGGATCGAACCTGTCCGTCCGCAAAGCGATCCATGAACTGTTGCGCTTCTACTACAGTTCGTATCGTTGGTCTTGTGCTGAGTTCAACACGAGCTTTGTTCCGGATATAAGAATATGTAGACTGAGGATGAATGCCCCACACCATACATCCTTTTCTTACAAAGTCCCCCAATCAAAAAGCTTGAAATTATAGTATCGGGCGGACCGAAAGAACAAGTTGAAGTTTTCTCTATAAACACAGTGTTTCAATTTCGTCAAGCAGGAGTCCCGCTTGCTTTCCCTCATGCACAAATTCATGTGCGGCGTGATGGGTCGGGGGGTCAAGTGTTTTCCAAGAGTCACACAAGACTTATAAAATCCAGACGTTCAGGAGCTTCAAATCACTAACTAGACGGGATATGTGAGGATATCTAAATATATCCTGTGCATGGAATGACTCATCCTGCGGGGATACTCAGAACTTGAATGAGCTGGTGTGCCAAGTGATAATATCGAATGCCCTGGCTGTCTCCACAGCGCTTTCCACAACGATCTTTGAATTTCCACAACGATCTTTGAATTTGGGGCGCCTCAGACATCCTCAAAGCTTGATATAACGTGTTGTCCGTGTCACAGTTGCTTCGGTTGTGGCGAACAATCACGTAGCCTGAGCTCACGGACAGGCATTGCGACTTCTCACGACATTCTTGAACGGATACATAGCAAAAGAAATCTTTTGGAGCATTGTGATCCATTGGGCTTGGCGGAATAATGGACGGGCCGATAAGCGTGCGTCGGCCGCAAGCACCCATCGTGGATGAGCCCATGCAAGAAACCGCTATCATCGTCGCAGACGCCTACTTATCCAACTCAAACCAGACACCGCTTGCGATTCTTCCAAAGTCATTGAATGATCAAGACTCCTGCATTCCAACAGACCTAGGTCTGGACTTGCAGCCTAATCCTCCGCTGAAGGAGCTGGAAGAAAAACATAGGACAGACACGCCCGCTTTCGATGAAAAGGTAGAGATAGTGCCGATAACTGATGCAGACTCTGAGTCTCCGATCATGACCGTGAGGTCTGTCTTGATCGGTGTCCTTCTATCCGCGTTTGGGGTTTCAATTACCCAGGTGAGAATTCCTCCTTGCCATCTATCTATCTAGGTGATTGCGAGTGATGTTTATTGAAGCGAATTTCATTCGGAAATCAACTATGTAGCTTTTCCTCTTCAAGCCGGTTCACATGCAGATAAAGCTAATCTTTCTCCAAGTAAGTTGGACTCGATTCTGGGGAGACATCATGATCCGGCAGCTACCGACGATCTAATTGGTTTGATCAGATAGCGTCGGTCGTAATTGGTCGAAGTTGCGCATTCATTCCTGGTTCCAGATGGTGGAATCCAGGGCCTTTCAGCTTGGTATGAAACCCTTCCAACCTACGTGATACTTTTACCAAACACCAAGACTCCGACTCTGTAGTAGCTATAAACTAATTACTTCCATGCTTGAAATGCCAAATGGAATTTCCAACTTGACCAAAGAAAGAGGCTGGTTTCTCTGCTTTGATGGGGACTACAGCAAGTGGGGCTACGTTGGCAGCCGAGGTGAATATATATTCCATCAACGCGTTGTGGCAAGATTTTCACCATATTTCCTTTTGATCCCATGCCTTTTTGGCTGGTCATTTTCAATACAAATTAGATGATAGGGACGTACGAGCTGTACTTCGACCGCGTTATAAGCTTCGGCGTTGCCTTTGGGATTTTAATGAGCTCCCAACTCATCGGGTTCGGATGGGCGGGCTTACTACAGCCTGTTATGATCTACCCCTCTCGCACTGTATTCCCGTAATGCGCTTTTCCTGATCCGGCTCAACAGGCAATGATGCTTTCTGACTGAACTTGTTCATTCTAGTGAAGTCCTTCCCAGCGTCTCTCTCTTGACTTCCCTGTTCAAAGTGGGATCTGAATCCGAGGACCAGGTGAGATTCTTCAAGAAAGCTTTTGTAGCTGTCTCGATTTGTAAGTTTAGTCCTCATTGAATCATGAGGAACAAAACATACTCTTCAAGCTCCTCCAGATGAGTGTTGAAACTAAAATTGCGCTCCACATCGAGTCAAGACGAGATATTCCCGACGTATATCACACCGGCCTTCCAAGCCATCAATATCTTCTGTTTGACGTTACCTAAAAACCAGCTTGTTACGACGATTTTTGGCGGAGCTCGACCATTTGAGGGCATGGGGCTGTTCAGCATATCTGCAGATTGGTCTATGGTTGGTGGTCGGGGACCGCTATATCTGCCTCTGAGTACGCAAGTAGGTTTCCATATTCTCAATCGCCACTGCATTAAAAAAACATGGGTTGGGTCTCTGGAGCAGTTTTGATGATCTTTCTAACCATTTCAGATCCATCAGCTGGTTGCTTTGGTGGTATCTACTTTGGCCTTCTTTTTGGTTTATTCGAAATCTTGGTTCGGTGAGCTATTTTAGGATTAAATACCAGTCTTTCTTCCAATCAAGACATTGATTAGGGCTTGAACCCTTCATGATCTAGGTGCCGGTCTTACTCAAAATTTCCCGTTCATGTCAGCAAGTCTACTCACTGCAGACGGGAAAACATATCCGTATCGACAGGCTGTTAACGCAGACGGTACAGCTAACGAAGAGTTCATACAAAGAACAGGGCTTCCATTTTTCACCGCAACTTTCTATGTATCCCAGATTCTCGCCACTGTTTGTTTGACAAGTTCCATTTCCCATTCTATATTGTATAACTACCGCATCATTGGGTCACTGTTCAAGAAATCAACGAATTCGGAGGAGATTGACCCACATCGATTAGTCTGTCTAAAGTACAAGAATTTTCCGTTATGGTGAGTTATCATGAAAAATACCTTTTGAGCGCTCTTCAAATTGATTTTTATCTGAGCTTTGAATCATCCTCTCAGGGGGTTTGCTACGATCACGCTTGTGGCTATTGGCTTGACCTTTGGGATATCATCACTCAGTAACTCTGGAATTTCTTTTGTTGGCTTACTTGTTGCTCTGATAGCATCTTTTTTAATGACGTATGTATCTCCACCATACTCTCAAACCACCAATAATTGCTTCTCAATGAGCCTGTTGAAAGCTGCACATCTGTTTTTTTTTCTTCTTACAAATACTTCAATCTACTGTGCTTACTGCAGACTCGCGGTGTGGAACTACTCTTTGGGATGAATAGAGCTGGAGAGGGAAAGATGCTTTAATGGGCTGCCTCTCTGGTAAACTGGGTTGAGTAAGATAACAAGAAAAAGATAAGAGTGTGGACTCTTAAGGAAAGGTGTGGCTTTGGAGAATTCTTGAGATGGGTATGTCTTCTGTCTTCTGGTCTTCTGTCTGAATAATACTAGTATCCCAAATGTTGATGGGCAACTACTAGGCTAATGAAGGGTGATCAGTTATCTGGATTGCTGGGGCAGGATCTGATGGGGAACAAATGAAGATGGGAAAACAAGGCTCCTTATATACAAAATCTGGGGAGTGGCCAGCTTGTGGTTGGAAACACCATGGAACAAAATGGAACAAGAGAAAATGATCAAACTGAAACATGTGGCCCAATTGGTAGGCACTAAGATAAATGGGGAAAATGACATCAGAGACATGCAGGGATGAAATGTGCCACAACCAATGAGGGAGGAAGAATATACCAAAGAGATAAATGAACTAGCCAAATGTGTACTAGTGTGAGACATGCAGATAACCCAAGAGGAATAGTGTGAAACAATAGAATGTGGCCCAAAGTGGAAATGAAGCTAGAGTGAAAGTGGAATAGAGTGAAACACATGCAGAGGCCAAGTGTGGAAGGCTGAATGGGGATTGATGATGTAAGACTGCATGAGATGATTATGTAATAATGAAATGAAATGAGAATCCAGAGTGTCTTCTGTCCAGGGGGCTTGGTCTTGTGACATCCATGGTGTTGCAGGTTGGCTGAATAGTCCAGAGGGGGCTTGCCTTGATCCTTGAGGGTCTTGTCATTCAGAGGGCTTGATTATGTGCTTGAAGCTTTGATTTTGTGGGCCTCTTATTCAAGATTGGCTTACCACAGCGGTGGGTTTTATCAATGCAATGACCGGTTTTACAATTCGATTTGCTGGTGGCATCCAAATGCTTGGTGGCATACTGTTTCCAGGAAACGTCTTTGGAAACATGTGGTTTACGATCTACGGGGCCTCAAGGTAGGTTCTCCTCAGCCATTTTTATTTTTGCACTGCCTTTCAGCTTTAATGCTGATGTGTTCGAATCATTGTGCATTTCAAGTGCACTCCAAGGCATAAACATCTTGAAAGATGCAAAATACGGACAGTACATCCACCTCCCCCAAAATCTTGTGGTTTACTCGCAATTGATAGGCTGCACTATTGGAAGCTTGTCTACCCTGCTCGTCGTGAAGCCCATTCTCAGGAATCAGCGCGAGGTCCTGCTTTCACCCAATGGAAACGGCGTCTTTTCAGGTGCTGAATTTGCTGCATTCCAGGCTCGGTCCGTCAGGTTAGTAATCTAAATTTTGTGCAAAGACTTGCTTAGCGTGCTGAATAGTCCAGACTTGACTTTTCTACAGTTGGGGAATCTTCTCCAGGCGCATGTTTCTATCTGATCAAAAATACGTGGGTCCCCATTTGGCTCCAAAATTATTGCATAAAATGCACATTTATGCCCATCTGGTGACCACACTAATTTTCCCTGAAAACCGATGACTTGGTTGATTGAGGAATCAAGTCGGCAGTCAGCTGGGGACTCTTGGTTGGGCTCTTGCTTCCCATCCCCTTTTTTGTTGCGAGCAAATATTTTCCCCGATGCAGGCTCAACCTGGTCAACATACCGCTTCTTTGTGGAATTGTCCAGAGCCTGTACGTAGGTAAGTCCTTTGACTTGATTTAATGCTTCAATAATTTGATTCAATCCTTTGCATCTTTATAGTGGCGTATGCAGGAGAACCAATGCGTACCGCCGTCGGACTAATGTCACAGTTCTGGGCCCGCAAGTATCAAACCCAATGGCAAGTTTGACGACTCCCATTGCAACTGTCTCCACACTCATGTCTTCTGTTTGCCTCATTCTTTAATGTACATTCTCTAGGTTCAACAAGTACAACTACATTTTTTCTGCTGCTCTTGACGGCGGAACTGAGCTGATGGTGTTCTTATTAGCCATGGCCTTTCAAGGTGGTGGCGGGAAGAAAATCAATTTTCCAACGTAAGTTGAAAGTCCCACAATTTATAGATTTAAGGTGGCTTCTTCTGATAAGTAAGATTGTGTTTGCAGGTATTTCCTCAATCCATCTACATCAACTCCCAGAGATTATTGTTATATTAATCCAGTGGCTCGCGGGAGTGAGTCATAACTGAAACTCAAACAGACAGTATCAATGAACAAAGCACGCTGGTATCAAAATGAAGCTATAATATTTATTTAATTACCTTAAAGGATTAAGCACACATTTTTAAAAAAAGCTTGTTTCTTTTCCAGGATTATCATGATGTACTAAAATTCTTCAACTGTATACTTGGCCAAGCATTTAATTGTGCTCTGAAGTTCAAACTTCCCATACGTTTGGATATTTCATACATGTCTCAATATGAATAGTATCAATTTCTAATTAATTGTTACAATATTTAGGAGACCTGGTTACCCTCAGGGTGTCCAATTTCATAAGGGGTTGGATCTAATGTGCCAGTTTTGTGATGCCAGTTCTTCAGGCAAAGGAGGTGCTCAATTGATGTCCAATTGAAACTATCAATTCAAGGATCAATCTATTATTTTCATCTTGAAAATATTCACTCCAAGGGAGAACTTTCAACTAGTGAGGATGGTCAGATCAAATCTTGCATTACTGACAGTGCTAGATATATAAAATCTTTCCTTTTCCTGTAATCCAAAAACCTCAGTCTTTTGTGGCTTGTTAGATTCTCCAAGATATTATCAGATCACAGTAGCCAAGTTGTTGGCTGTCTGTTTGACAAGGATTGAGCACTTTTTACACATGGTTTAGGCATGTTTGAATTGCATCTGGAAGGGCTGCAGTTGAAACATTTTGAAATCCTGAAGAGCAATTTCAGTATCAAAGATGGCGGGGATTTATTCTTGAATGAAACTGAGTTTTTCTGTAATGCAAAATAATTCAATTGCACAGAATAGTGTCATCTTTTACAAAATAGACTCCAGGTATTTCTTCAGTGTTTCAATTATCTTCTCTGCAGCTTGCAGGAGCTGTGAAGCATTGTAGTTGGGTTGTACTAGAGATATTTTCTTTATGAATGATATATAGATTGAAAGACAAAGGGTGAGGGTTGGGTATTGTGAGGAAAAAAGATCCCTATTTTTGATTTGTTCTTTGACTTCTGGAGTGCACTCAAGCATATTGTGGGTGAGCAGCAGCATGTCTTAACATAGACTACAACAAGTTTATCCTTGTGTTTGATACATATTTTTGGATTGTTATTTTGTTGAGATGTATTGGTGTGTCAATCCTGATTTTGCTGTGATATATCTGCTTGTTGGTCCTCTACAGAATCTTTCAATATTTTCCATTGTTCAAAATCACAAGGCGTAACTCTGACAGATATTGGAAGACCTTGCACTTGTGAAATTGCATGTAACATTGATCTGATTGGGTCATGTATAGTTAAGTGACTAATCTTCATCTAATTGTTGTCCACCCAATCCAAGTTTTACATCAGCCCTGAGATATTCAGTTTGAAATCCAAAGGCTTCCAGTCCATCTTTTGCCGCAAGATTTATAACATGTCTCATGTACCCCATCAGTAGCTTATGTGAAATGAATTCCCCATTCAATATCTTCTCAGATCTTGATGCAAGGCTAGATGGAAGTTACACAATTCCTTGAAACATTGTTTCTGCAAGATCAAAAACTCAGACTTTGGCCTTTCAGATCATGTTCCTGCCAACTGATTCCTTGAAATATTACACTATTCCTTTCATACACCTTGCAATAACAATCAAAATTATGGATTCCAACAGTGCTTCATTTTAATGAACCACAAGCTTTTGGGATGAAGGTGATTTTAGTATATCATCTATGCAATAATACTAGAGATGACCTGAATAGCACAAACCTATGATGGTTTGAGGTTAGTGACAAAGCGACAAGTTTGTTAAGGTGAAACATTGGATTGATTGCTTTTTCATATACACACCTTTTAGGATGAAGGTGATTTTAGTACCTCTACACAATAGGGGGTATCAAATATACCACTAGAGACCAGTCACTTTTCCCAATTTTTTTTTGCATAAGTTGGCCCCAAAAGGGGTTAAATGAATAACCAACATGTTTAAGAAAGGGTGGATTTTTTCAAACCAGCCAATTAAATAATGGTGGATTTGGTTATATTTGATACCCCCTAATAATACTAGAGATGACCTGAAGAGAACACAACATTAAGCTATGTAGAATGATAAGTTGATGAGAGAAATGAACCTATGATAGTTTGAGGTTAGTGACAAAGAAACAGATTTTTTAAGATGAAACAATTGATTGATTAAGAAAGAGACTGATACAAAATAGAGGGATTGCTTCTATGAACATCAACTAGGCTTCAGATAACTGCAGCGCAAAGTGTGAAATGAATAAAGTATGATTAAAATAGAGAAAGAACTGAAAAGAACTAGATAGTTCAATACATTTTCTATATCAATGAAATAAAAGCTGAGGAATGTGGACTTTTAACCTCCAAGAGAGAAGTTTCCACCAATTATCAGTTTGAGGGTGGCAGAGATTTATACCAACCTTTAAAATTTTTCACTGTGCAGCTATTGCTAGTACCTGATTTTTAGACCTTCATACACACAGTTTTCTAGTGCCATAAAAATTCTTGTTGAATCAGAATAATTTCTGGCTCAGATAGTGATTCTTAACAAAACACATCATAACTTTGGTGGGACTTGATAAGCAACAGCTGGGGTGATTCTGCTCAGGAACAATAGAGCATCTCCAGAAGAGAGGGGGTGGATTGGGCTGGTTTTCCCAGCTTTTAAAGTTCTCTAACCTTCAGTTCTTCATAAAGTGCCCTGGAAAGGAGAGTGAAAGTACACCACAGGTGAATTTTCAAACTATGAAATTGAAATGAAGGCCTGATCTCGGGACAGCAGTGTCCCAGAGGCTGAACAGCCAGGAGCACCCATCACAACATGCCTATTTAGTATTGTGAGCCTTTTATGGCAGCAGATCTTTGATTGAAGCTAATCATGGGTGTATTTTCTGCTCAGGAACACTAGAACATCTCCAGGAGAGAGGGGATGGATTGGGCTGGGTTGCCCAAATTTTACAAGCTCTCTAACCTGAAGTTCTTCACAAGGTGCCTTGGAAAGGAGAGGGAAAGTAACTATGAGATTCAAAATGAAGGTCTGCTCTTGGGACAGCAGTGCCCAGATGCTGAATAGCCTGGAGCACCCGTCACAACATGCTTATTCAGTATTGAGAGCCTGCTAATCTATGGCAGCAGACCTTTGATTGAAGGTAATTTTGGATGTTTGCCGGATGCTTTTTGCCAGACTGTTTCTGGGACACCAACATGCACCTTTGGTGCAGCCAGCTAGGACTGGATTTATCAAATTGGGGCAGACCTGCTAGGGTTCTTAGCGGGTCTGCTCAAATTTGATCAAGTCCCTCCTACTCAACTGCAAAAGACAGAAGCGCTTTCGTTATGTTCCAGGCCTGCTGGACCTACGACTACTTATTTGATGCCCGTATGCCCGGGTTAAGTTCGTGAATAGATGGTCTGATCCTGCCTGAGCCTGCTAAACCCAGCCCGATCCAACTCCTCTCTACTGGAGATGCTATTATGCCCGGCTATCGTGCGCAGCATGGCGCGACTAGCTTTTTGAGCTAACTTGACCAAGTTCCTCGTCCCCGGTGGGGGAAGACGCTGTCCCGCTGGGAGCCTGGGCTCCGAATTTGAGCCGCACGAACCAAAGGTTGGCGTGTAGCGTATGCTTAGCAATACACTCGAACGACGGCGGCCCCATCGCCATCGCCGTGCGACACAAGGCATGCTAGAAGCGTCATGGTTTTGTGATTGAAGATAAAGCCATCAACTTGGACCGATGCAGGGAACCTCATGCCATGGGCAGGTGCTGATAACAACGTTCTTGGCATGGAGTGCCTACATATTCCCGTCATAGACCACGGTCGACGCTGAAGAATACCCGAGCACATGCCATGTGGCGTGAGTTGAGCCACACCTTCAACAAAATCCCCGGCATGAGTGTACATACCTCCAATGCTGAGTTGGATAAACCCAGAGTAATTCCCAATGGTTGGATCAACCCTAGTCAGCTTATATAAATAAGCAAAACCTTAGATAAATAAGCAAAATCAAAATGCCCGTATTGGAGGTTTTTGGTGGTTCTTCTGTGCCATTATACCCACCGGCGATCCCTCTTTGGCAGCCGGCCTCAATGATAGCTCAAGATCTTTTCACTTATTCTGAAATGGCTTTGTGGTTACTATGACGCACCAATTTTCGACATGTTGCTCATCTTTAATTAAGTAATTTTCAATGGTGTTGTGACTCGGGCCATTGACGCCGGGCTCGACCGCTGGGGAAGTTCGGTCAAGCAAACCATTTCGTTTGCCAACTGGAAAGCACACTGCATTTACGTCTTGATTTTGGTACTCATGTCCAATTTTTTCAAATGTTTCCAAGCGTTAAAAAAGATATTTCTATTGCTGAATAATAACGCCTTTATGTATTCGGAAGGTTTTCTCCATTTTTTCATGCGTGTGCATGAAATATCTAAGCTGGATGGTCCCGATTAATCGGTGTTGCACATCCCTCCACCTGACGATTGCACGAATGGAGTGTGATTTGACAGTGGCACCTGCGGAGAAGGGCCATCGACCCAATCATTCTTATTATCCTATACATAGCCTGGATCCTTTGTGGTGAGTTGTGCTGGCCAATCATGTTCCTTTGTAGACACGCTGATCTGTGTCGCAGTTCGTGCTCTTATAGGAGCAGCTCCATGATTACGCATGTCATATACATATATCAGACATATGTAAGGGTTAAAATCCTATATTTACTCACATTGCAATCAATAAAAAGGTCACCGTTAACTTACTATCTAGGAATTTCCCATCCCCCACCCCCAGCTACCCTCAGGACTCGTCATACAAACTTCTTCCCTAAACAGCCCACGACAGAACCTCCGCTTGATTCATATTTCAGTTCATCTTTTTTATTATAAAAAAATGGACCGGCAAGGAGCGGGGCCTTGGAAGCCACCAACTATCTCCGATGATTCCATGGAAAAAGCCCAGGCTGTAGCAAGCGCCCGCCGTCCATCCAACGTTTCCTTCAGAAGTCACCACGGGGCGGGCTGCAATGCTAGCCTTAGCATCGAGGTCGCAAGTAATGCAGGTCGAGATCACTACGTGCCACCTACTTCTCCGGTGAAGCTCGAAGAAGCAGACAAGGGATCAAAGGACTCCTGTTTGGGAGAAAAAACAGAAACCATCTCCCTATATGAAGATTCCGAGCCCCCAATCATGACCGTGAGGTCTGTTTCAGTTGGTATATTTTTGGCTGTTTTTGGGGTTTCTGTTACGCAGGTGAGAATATATCTATCCAGTTCAACAAGCCGATTGTGATTGATTTGTTGAAGCACTTTTTATTCCCAACCAACCAGCTTTTCCTCTTCAAGCCTGTTCACATGAACATTAAACTCATGTTCCTTCAAGTAAGCATCCAATCCTCATGATAAGAGATAACCACTGATGATTTGTTTTTATCAGATAGCGGCAGTAATCCTTGGAAGAGGCTGCGCATTAATACCCGGCCCAAAATGGTGGAATCCAGGACCTTACACGTTGGTATGAAGCTCTTCATACCGATCCAATTCCCTTTTTCCAGGATTTGAGAAGCGCAGAGTTAGCTAATCAAGTGGTTGCATGTAACGCCTGCCAAATTCGGTCTTTCGAATAAAAAGAAAGAGACGGCTTTCTGCGCCTTGATGGGTACCACAGCCAGTATTGCGGTATTGGCAACTGAGGTAAATATTGTATCTTGTTAGATTAGCGACGATTATTGACAAGATTCTTTTGCACTTATTTTCTTTTCGGGTTGGTCATTCTTGACAAAAATTAACAGATGATAGTGGTGTACGATTTGTACTTTGACCATGTCATAAACTTTGGCATTGCTTTTTGTATTTTAATCAGCTCGCAGCTCATTGGTTTTGCATGGGCGGGCGTACTGCTACCGATATTGGTTTATCCCACCCATGCTGTATTTCCGTAAGGCATCCATCTATATAGCTCTTCAAGTAATGTTCTTTTCTGACATACTTACATTTTTTTCGAATTTAAGTGAAACGCTTCCCAGTATTTCTCTTTTGAAATCCCTTTTTAGCGTTGGTGAGGAATCGAAGGACCAGGTGAAATTTTTCAAGAAGGCTTTTCTAACGGTCATAGTTTGTAAGCTTATGCTTCATCAAATCATGAAAAAGGGATGATTGATTGCTCTTTCAAAGAGCTCTTCGACGGGCGCGAAAATTATCCAACAGACTATCTGATTCATTTTGAATTTGCCATCCTTGTTGATTGAAGACGAAATCTTTCCAACATATATCACGCCGGCTCTCCAAGCCGTCAATGTTTTCTGCTTGACTCTACCGAAAGATCCGATTGTGACCTCAATTTTTGGAGGAGCTCAACCATTTCAAGGCATGGGAATCTTCAGCGTTTCTGGAGATTGGTCTATGGTGGGGGGTCTGGGCCCACTATACATGCCTCTTACCACGCAGGCAAGTTTCAAATTCTTCAAGTCAAGGTCAACTGGATCCAATTTGGCGTGCTTTTCCTTGTAGATGCATCAACTGGCTGCTTGGGTGGTTTCAACTCTGGTCTTCTTTCTTGTTTACACAAAATCCTGGTTTGGTGAGAAATTTGTTTTGTTTATCTCCCGCCCAATTTTCTTTTCTTTTTTATCAAAACATCAAGTTGACCGTGAACTCTTGTGTGGTTCAGGGAGTGGTTACAATCAACACTTCCCGTTCCTGTCTGTCGGTTTATTCACTTCAGAAGGTAAACCATACCCGTATCGAGAAGCTGTCAATCAGGATGGCACAGCCAACGAAGAATACCTAGAAAAATCGGGACTTCCATTTTTCACCGGAACGTATTACATAGTTCAGATTCTCCTGACAACATCCTTAACAAGTTCCATTGCGCATGCCGTGTTGTACAACTACCGCATATTTGGTGCAATGTTTAAGAAATCGAAGAGATCAGCAGACATCGATCCGCATCGTTTAGTCTGCCAGAAATACAAGGATTTCCCACTATGGTACGCTCGAGGCAACTTTGCTTTAATCTTTCATAGGCTCTATGTTTTCATCATTAATCACTCATCCAATTTTTCTCAGGGGTTTCATCTTGCTTGCACTTGGTGCCATTGGCTTAGCCTTCGGGATGTCAGCTATCAGCAACTCTGGACTTTCTGCCCCTGCCTTGATCGTCGCTCTGATAGTATCTTTCATTCTAACGTACGTATCTCCGGTCTCATCTGGGGAGGATGACTCCCTCTTTGTCAAAACTGTCTCTAACATGGTACAAATGTGTATATGTACGCGTATATATATATTGCAACTCACTTTCTCAAATTTCATGTGTCAACTATAGGCTTGGAACAGGGTTTATATTTGCCCTCACCGGATTCGTAGTACGGTTATCCCCTGGAATTCAGATGCTTGGCGGTCTTCTATTCCCGGGAAATGTGTTTGCTAGCATGTGGTTCACAGTCTACGGAGGGACAAGGTTTTTCTTTCAATGATTTTGTGACCTTTTTTCTTAAATATTTTTCCACGTGTCAATTTTGCTGACTATGGGGTCGATTTTTTTTATCAAAGTGCTTACCAAGGATTGAACATACTCAAAAACATGAAATACGGACAGTATATACATTTGCCACCAAGGCTCGTGGTTTATTCACAATTGATTGGCTGCACAGTTGGAAGCTTGACTACTCTTCTAGTCGCCAGGGCCATCGTTTCACATGAACGCGAGGTCTTGCTTTCACCCCATGGTAACGGTATCTTCTCAGGTGCAGAAATTGCAGCGTTCCAGGCTCGAGCAGTCAGGTTGGTTATTCGATTCTTGCTTGCAAAAGAATATTAAAGATAGACAGTCATTGATTTGGTGGTACCATCGGTCTTTTTCTTTCCGCTTTTTGTAGCTGGGGACTTTTCTCTCGACATTTGTTTCTTTCTGGTCAACGATATGTGGGTTTTCACATTCCTCTGACTAAACCCCAAAAAAGTATTCACAGGAAAAATGTTGAGACCGTTATACTCATTCGTGATTTTGCTTTTGAAAATTGATGAATCTAGTCCGCGGTCAGCTGGGGAATGTTGATCGGATTTGCCCTTCCAGTTCCATTTTTTGTTGCCCACAAAATTTGGCCGCGTCTCAAATTTAATCAAGTCATCGTGCCTCTATTCCTCGGAATTATTCCGGGTTTGTATAATAGTAAGTTTTTGTCATTGAGTAATCCTACTTCATTGAATTAACGTTTTGCATTTCTGTTTCAAGTGGCCTACGCAGGAGAACTTGCGCGTATGGTTATCGGTCTAACATCACAGTTATGGGCCCGCAGGTATCGAGCTCAATGGTAAACAATTTTTGGATTAATCCTGTAGCCTGCGGTGGAAAAAGAGTTACCTCTAATTGTTGTCATATTCCCCAGGTTCAATAAATACAACTATATCTTGTCTGCCGCTCTCGATGGCGGAACAGAGGTGGCGGTATTTGTCTTGGCGATGGCTTTTCAAGGCGGCGGTGGTCGCCAAATCAAATTTCCTACGTAAGTCCCAATCCTAAACGAGATATCTATCAGATTGGCTTTCTAAACTTCAGAATCATTGCAGGTATTTCCTCAACCCTCCCTCATCTACTCCCCGGGATTATTGCTGGGTGGATCCTAACTCTCGTGCAGGCTAATTTTTTTTTAATATCAAGATGACATTCGCGTAATATCGTGCCCTGAATTCAGGCACGCTGACAACAAACTACTAGTAGATTTTTTTTATTTCCTATGATGTTCGCATGTAATTTCTCCCGCATGTAAAATAATCTTGCTCTTGTAATACGAATCAGTCCATGAGTGGTTGTTATATAAATGCACAACTGGTTTCTTCTATGAAAGAATGATACAAAGAAAGGATTTTTACAATGAAGGTATAGGCAGTTGTGTTTCAGTTTGACTCGAGCTATCTGATTGATCGAGGAAATTCTTGGGTCAGTCCATTTAGCCCTTGACGATAGCTTGTATTACGGTAAAGAGATTCCTCCGGCTGTACGACAGGCCTTGACGGTAGTATGATGCTTCAGCTTCTTACGAACACCTGGGCCGATAAACGTCACAAGATTTGCGTCGCGTCAGAATATGAAAATGAACTCTGAAAGTTTAAGTTTGATTGAGAAGGTCTCTTACCGGCAGCTTTAGTATCGCAGACTGGTAAATTAATCAAACAGCGAGAATTCTCATCCACAGGCAAGGTTGTTCTGTTGAAGGCCAACCATCATCAAGAGGAACATAAATATCTTGTTTTATTGTGGACAAATGCTAAAGAAAAGAGTAAAAAACCCACCCGTCTGAGTATGGATCGTAATCAGGCCCTTTGCCCAGTTTGAAGCACTCGAAAGCTTGCTTGGTGATATATTCCGCGGTTATTTTGTACTTTTCAACCAACACCTTCGCGTTGTAAAATTTATTTCCAGATTTACCCTCGTCGTCATAGATTACGTTCATCATCCTACGGATGATGCAGAACCATAGATTGATCCAGAGCACAGTTCTGTCGCATAATGTCAAAGGCAGAAATTCACACTCACGTGCCATCTCTCTTGTCGCAGTAGCTCAACCAACCATCGTCGATGGAAAATGCTCCGTTGGGTCCGTTTTGGCGACAGCCATCCTGTAATATAAATTCCCGATCGGTATGGCTGCTTGCTGTTTTTCATGAACTGTGGACAGATGGAAAAACCCTTACACCTATGGTAATAAAACCTTTCTGAAATATTGACATAGTCAAAGATGAGTGGCCAGTTTAGCATCTTCCGAATAATAAGTTTGTCTTGCTGACCTTTGCCCTAAGTATCTGGCCAACCATCCTTATGGTGAGGATTCTAGCCAACTTTGATTCTAAATCATTTGTATCATGTTTGAGACTATTCCGACAAAATTCACCACCGGCCAAAGATCCCAAGATGCCCTTTTGGCTACCAATGGGATTCTCGACTATTTCTTTAAATCGTTTACTGATCGCGCTTTGGGATTTTTCTTGCCAGTCTGAGATTTGGTTCTCATAATGGGACCACTGAACAAAAACAAAAGAAAAGAAAACGTCTTCATTTTAGCTCGACTGATTGAATTGGCCTAAATAATTCCAGGGAGATGCCATTCAATACAGAGTGAGAGGGAGAAGAGATCTTACCTTCGTAAACGTATCTTGTCTTCCGGCTTCACGTTCAGCAGCTTGCGCTTTCAGTAGCATTGTCACCTGAGCGATTGCGATCATAGCGCCTGCTGTAGCCACGGCCGCACCGGCTTCCAAACCAGGAGTAACCAGAAAAACCTATACCCATCTCGTTAGAATCCATGTTGCTAATCTACTTTTTGTAGTTGGATATAGTTGGATCGAGTGATTGCTTACCACACCAGCAATTATGGCCACAACGGCTAGGGCCATGGTTAGAACCATGGTGGTCGATTGAAATAGTTTGTATTTCTTTCTAGCATTTTGCAGGTATCTAAGATATTTTGATTTGAGAAAATAATCAGCTCGAATGACTGCAAAACAATTTGAACAAGAATATTTATATAACTCACAAGTCATTCACGAGTTCTGCTCCAATGGCTGGCAACAGAAAAAAGAAAAAAAAATTGATCTTTAACATTTCCCTTCTGACCTTTCAAATTAATTAGATTTACCTTTGGCGCGACTGGCCGCCAAACCAATAGCAGTGTAGAGCGAATTCTGATACATTGTCAACTGTTCCATAGCAGCAAGGACCCACCACGCTCTTCCACTGATCGGAGAACAGAGCTAGTTGAATGAAACCACGCAGTAGAATAGTCTAAGTAACAAGATGCCCTATGGGTTTCTTTTTCTAGTAACTTACCTGACCGGCTGAACAAAACTGGTTGAGACCACAAACAAAGTTGAGGGCATTGTTTTGTCGGGCGAACTCCTGTGGAGATAAATTGAGCAAGTAGAGTGTTTGAATTTCTGGTAGTCTATCATGGTAGATAGATTATCAGAAAGTACAGTTCAGTCAACCCACGTCAAGATTTATTTCGAGTGCCTTGGGATAAGTCTTGATGTATTCATCCAGCTTGAGCTCTTTCCAGGTTTGGGGGCTCAAGGGCTTGGGCTGACATTCGTAAGGTTGGAGGGTTTTTGCTAGGGGAGTTTCTGATGGATTATTGGAAATCCAAATAGGCCAATTTAGATTAAAATGTGTAACACTTGGGCGATCTGGTTTTGAGTATGGCTATTACGAGGGGACTCACGAAGATCGGCTCGGGCATGCAATAGGTGGAGATAGTTCAAGCTTTGCCCCCCAGAGTATACTTGTAGAGCATGTTGACCATTGACTGTTGGTATGATGATCGACAGCAGCAGGGTTCCAACTAGGATCCCCTGCATCAGTAAAGCCTTATAAACACTTGTCGGCGAATTGGGAGAATTAAATATGGGTTGTCTTCGTGGGTAAGTGGTGCTAAGCATCCAGTTGTTCGAGCACAGGCGGCTCATGATGTTGATAATGAGAGTCTTGAGGAGGGAATGATGATTTCTGGACCAGATGAGCTTATGAGCAGGGGATTGCAACACAGATATCTGCCTACCTGCTTGCCGTGCAGTCGAAGATGAAGTGTTGTTCTTGGATATGCCATCCTCAATTATAGCTATGAAACGCTATGCTGCTGATGAAAGAACTCCGAGTCTGCTCACTATGGTAATCAAGGCTTGATACGGAAGCTACCAGAGTGGCGCAAGGAAGGAGGAAGAAAGATACAGTGTCCTATCTTCCTTCGATCGCTGCTCCGGTGCAGTGGATGGATGGAGCCCTGGAGCTCCGGGCAATTTTCAACAGCCGAGCTCCGCAGGCGTTCTCTCGGGCATGGCACGGGTCTCTTTGCCTCTGCCGGAGCTCTCAGCTATGTATGTTGTGCTGAGGGGACCCCGAGCCTCGGGGGAGGGCGAAAGAGCCGAGCAGGAGACCCCGGGGGGCATGGGGACATTCATGAGATCGGCGATCGGTTGAAGCCCTTGTTGACCAAAAACCATCATCAATCTCCCATCAACCTATTACCGGTCTCATGACCATGTCAAACTATCACCATCAAGCCCAACAGCAACAGCAACAACAACAGAACAATCAGACCAATAACAATAACCTCGACTTCCAACTCAACAGTAACAGCATCAGCCGACAAACCATGTACCGATCGGAAATCGAAGGAGATGCCATCAAGAGAGCACTCTGCGGTCTATCACCAGATACTAGACAGTCACTATTAACCATCCTACTGGCAACTCAGTCTAACAATCACCAAAACCAACAAGATCAACATCAACAGCGGCAGCAGCAGCAGCAACAGCAGCAACAACAACAACAGCAGCAGCAGCAACACCACCACCAGCAACAGCATCACCAGCAACAGCATCACTTGCAGCAACCACATCAACAACAACAACCAGGATCTTCCAATCAACCAATCTACCACCAGCGAGATCTCGATCAACAGATACAATCACCTAGTCATCTTAACTATCAAGCTACTAGCAATTGGAATGATCTCAACTTTATCCCATCCCTGCTTGCCAATCAGCAGCAACACCACCAACAACATCAGCCACTGCACTCTGAGCTTCCAAGCCCAATATTGTCCGATCAAGTCTCCAAACACGCTTTCCATTCCAGCCTAACAGAGACAATGCCTAATGAAGTAGGTCTTATTAGTTTTGCTTCTTGTAAAGATTTATTACCTAGGCTGACTTTGACTGTAATTATCGACCAGATCACTCCGGTCTTATCACCCAGTATGACCCCACTATCTACCTTCTCAACCTCCTCTTATCCAAGTTCGACCACCATCTCCGATGCACTTTCATCCCATAGTTCTGTACATCAGCCCTTTCAGCCCTCCAATCCTCAGCTGGAGTTCTTTTCGCCCTTAACCAGTCCTGCCCTCAGACCCCTCGGATATCATGACTCAACTCAGATCAATAGAAACGAAATCAATAATCAAGTGCCTTCAAATTTTCAAACTGTCACACATCCCATGCCAGCTTTGATCGATCAGGCCGCTTCCCTAGGTCTATCCGCCCATCAGTCTTTCATGGTCGGCGGCGATGGTCTATCAGCTAACCCGAATAGATCTCAATCCGATCACACCAACAAGCCGGCTCAGTTATCCTCCCAAACTCATCTCAACCAGTCTGCCTCGGCAATCTTTCCATCTCAACCAAACTTCATTCCTCACTCAAAATGTGCAACAAGAATCAATCAAGTACCAGCAATACCTGACGTCGGAATCTGCCACACCGAACGTATTAATCAATCACCCATCTTACATCCCCACCACTCCTCTTCCAATAGCATAACTGTTCCTGCTACCCCATCAACTTCCTCAACCAACAAGCTTTCTGGACGACAAAGACCCTCTCGCAGCAGTAAAAGTCGGCCTAGTCCTTTGATCCGACCTGTAGACAAGTCCGTTGAAAGCTGCGATGACAGGAGTAGTGTCGCAAAACGAGCTCGGAGTCTAACGGGAGCCTCGATCTCAATGAGTCCGAATTTCCCTAGTGGGCTGGCAAAGATGGGCCTAGCTGATTCCCCAAGTCCAATAGACATGCAATCCAGAGAGCTCAACTCAATATCGTCCTCGTCGTCATCCCTCGTAGAGAATTCTGTCACCAACTCGACCCACTCGCACGTCCTTCCTGCCAAGCTTCCACCACAGGGCGTATCGTCCATACCTTCCAACCCTAACGGATGGCGCATACAACCGATGACCCCCGCCAGTCTCTTCAACTTTGAAAACTCCATGGTCGTAGAGGCACCAATCTCCAATCCAAAAGACAACATGCAAGGAGATGACAATGGGAGTTGTGGAAAATTGAAAAGCGTCAATGAGACGTTCGAATGTGGACAAGCCTCTGAAAAGAACAATGAGTCGGTCAACAACAAAGAATCTACCGCAAATGCCGATCATTCTCTTCATGTCGAGCAACCAAGTAAGAGTGAGTAAATGACATCTAGAACAGTCATCGGAAGTTATCAATTGATCATGTTAATCTTTTCTTATTGCTATGTAGGTACCGGATCCAGTAGATCAGGTTCGAAAGAGAAAACTTCAGTGAATGGGTCCAATTCAGGAAAAAATAAATCGAAAGAAAACAATCCAAAAGTGAAGAAGAATGGAGTTAACAAAGTAAGATTAGATTCGATGATGAGTCTAAATAACGAAGAAGAAGGACCGGAGCACCGAAAGAGTTCACATAAAGTAGCGGAACAACGAAGAAGAGATAGTTTGAAGATGTGTTTTGAAGATCTCCGACACATCTTGCCGCCGATCCAATGGAATGAGAAGGAGGAAGGACAAGCGCAGGAGAGACGGCCGGGAGAAGGCAACGTTGGTGGACAACGAAGTGTCAATGCGTTTGATCCGTTGAATCCGAACAAAGGAATGAGCAAGGTGGCCCTGCTGCGACGGTCGAATGAGTACATCCTGAGGTTGAAGGAACGATTGAAGAGGAGAGATGGGGCGATCGAGATGTTAGTGAAGATGCTCGCTGACCATCAACTTGGTACCATGCCCAAAGACGGAGCGCCAAAGCCACAAGAAACAGAAGAACCTGGTCCCTCTGGTAGTCCTAGTCGGCCGAACAAGACTCATGAACAACAGTCTTCTAAAGGATCAGACCCTCTTCAAGCCCTGGAAGATAGCCTCACTAAACATCCTCATCCTCATCATCAGCAAGCGATGTTGGACGACTTGAGGCAGATTTTGGGGCAGATCCGGCTGGAGAAACAGGAGGATAAGGACGACCATCGTATCCATCAACATCATCAAATCCATCATGATCCAAGTCGGGGTAGCCTTAGCGGCGAAGAGCTAGATTAATCATGCCCGACTCTTACTCTCTCTCTCTCTCTGTTGATCATCTTCATTAAGAACATAAGTAGTACGTTAACTTGGCTGTTATATATACATGTCTGTCTGTATCCATCTCAATCCATTTGGTACTTGGGGCTTCTTTGATTTTCTTAATTAGTCTTCTGGTTTGTTATTTGATTTCTTCCAAATCTCCAACATATTATCTCTATCTGGTAATGATGATGATTCTCACTTCTCTCTCTCTCTCTCTCTCTCTTAAGACATCTTTCCTCCTATTTCTTTTTTTTACATATCTTAAACATTTTCTTTGTCTTTCACTCCTTTCATCCTCATATTATCCAAGAAAAAAACAAATCAATCATATGAAATGGAAAAAGAGAAAAAAATAGAAATAATAATGATTACAAAAACAGTACATAGATATTATTATTGTTATCATGTGAATATGTAAGATTTGTTGGTAAAATATTCTTGTATGGTTTTTATTCAAATTCTAAATAAATTAACTGAAAACTTGAAATCTAGTGTATCTCTATCAAATCTGAAACATTAAACTAACCACAAAAATAAGAACTGAAAATATTTAAATCTGATTGAGTCTTTTAACGTTTTTTTGGTGAGGACTTCTGGAATGTAACAATGGGGAGTAGGCTTTGAAGCTCTACATTCTTCTTCTACCCTTCTACTGTGTAAATATGATACATAGATCTGTGGTGTTCAAAAATCACTTAAGGTTTTACTGGACTTCCCATCAATCTGTGTTAGTTTCATTTGTTCACAATAATAATACGGGGGTTCACAATTGAAATTTACACAATTTTTGAAGCCCATTTTGAGGTGTTTCTCAACAGCTTTTTTGGAAAATTCAAATGTTGTTCTGATCGTTCAGAAACCCCAAAATCTGTGCATCTTGTCAAAATTTCAAAATGTTGCTGATGAGGAGCTTAAAATTGACTATAAAGACTTTATAAATTTCAGTTGTGAACCCCCCTAATGTCCCACAAACCTGTCTTATACACTTGCATAACGCTGTCTATAGGGAACATAAATACAGAATCAGACTGGGATGAGAAAGAAAATAATGCAGCCCAAGGAAGGGATCTATGATGGATTGAAGAATGTGCAATGGAAGTGGAGTAATGTGTCAGTTGGCACATATTATATGTATACAAAAAGCCACAGAAATTCAAAGACTAATCAAGTTGTCTGATGATGATGATTACTGATCACAAGAAGTTTGATTGGATGTCGATGAATTTGCAAGAATTGATCGAGTATAAGCCATTGTGCGTATTTTCAATGCTCTGTTGAAGTCCTCAGCAACCCTACGGTTGTTTAACTCATGTCTAGTCGAGATAGAAAGAGGCAAAACTTCCTGAAACAGCTTGATCAAAGCTGAAGCGATTTCGGTATTAGGGACTGATTTCGGTTGATTCACTGATTTATTTCTCGCCAGAAGATGTCCTTTGATGCTGTCCAACCTCGGAGCTGCAATTTGGGATTCATGCTTGATCACGTCTTCTTCGCCTGCAATCTTGCTTTCATCACTGTCCCTCTTTAGGATACTTTTCCACGTTTTTGTGACCGTTTTGGAATCTGGCTCGGGAACCGACTTGATCGCATCAGATTTAGTCTTAAGCCTCGCGGCGGGAGGAAATTGGTGAGTTGTCAGCGCGCTGGACGCGATTTTCTGACAGACAATGTCATGATTGATTTCTTCGTTTTCTATATCTATCTCCAGCGTGTTGTCCTCTAGACTTGGGAATTTGAGAGGGTCAATCTTCGAACAAATGTGATACATTTGCTCACTGATCTTCTGGAAGGCCGCCAACTCCCGGATCTTGACTTGAAGTAGACCACCAGTAACTTTCCCATTTTCTAACTCGCACTCCGCTGCTCTTGATTGCATCGATTTCCGCGTGTTTTGGCTAAGCAAAAATCTGGCGGTTCTCCACGCTGAACGATTTTTTTGTCACGACAGGTTTAAGATTGAAAAAAGGACCATAAAATAGGTATTGTGTATCATGATAATTGCAGAATCCAGAATACTTGAAAATTTATTTACCTTTGAGTTGAATGATGAAGTAAATTAGAGCGATTTCGAATGTGAATGGTACGTAGATCTCACTTCGGAAATTCATGAGAAACAGATTGAGCGTGATCTCCTAAACGAGTGTCAGCAACCGAACCCAACCAAGTCCCCCCAAGGTGGAGCCTGAGGCGCGAGATATGGGGATGGACTTCGTTGAATTCGGTCAGTGAAAAGAAGAAAAAGCTTACGCTACTAATGCCGATGGCAGAATGAAACCTGCACTGTTTTTTAAGCATAGCAGATTATGAGCCCCAGGACATTTTCTTGAATCATTCTTGTTTATCTTTCAGACATGAGGCTTACATGATAGTCCGGAATTTTGCTCTTTTACTGACTTGAAAGAAATCATTCAGGATACTTTCTTTTACTTGTTCATCTGACAAAGTGGCCAGCTTTGGTTCATGTGACAAGCTCCGGTGCAAAGGATTGAAAGCACTCCTCGAATGGAATACTTGAATCTTTTTTTCGAAGAAAACACGAGAAAGCCAGGTCAGAGAAGAAGCGGTATTGACAAATCAAACATAGGTGCTTAACTGGACCCATTTTTTTCAGCGGAGGTAATCGAGCTAAAAGTTGTGCCTCGCCGGTTACCATAAATCTGAAAGCAGCAGCCATAAACTAATCGAAGTCATGATTAGATTCTTATCAAGGTAATCCAGCTTGCAAATTTAGACTGAATGTTCAGCAAAAATAAAAAGTATATTTCACCCGAAAAGTGACACCCAAAGCTCTTTCTAACCAGCTTGGATTCGCGTAATCACCACGCTCTATGTCTTGCGCCTTTCGGATTGATTCTTGCCATTTTCTTGCTATTTTCTTGGCAATTTTTTCTCCTGGCCTCTTTCCTGTTTCTGGATCTTTGGGAGGTTTCTCATAAACCGATCGTGGTAGGGTGCTAAATCAATGTTTTCGTATTCAAGGATGACGGTAATTCAATATTTTGATCGCCAAAGGTAAGATGAGTTGAAGGTTCAAAAACACAGTAAGCATAAGGCGTGCTGCAACACAAACCCGACGGGGAAAAAAACAAACTAGAGAAATAGTGGTGCATTGCCAGATAGGCTGTATTCTCTTGCAGGGCTGGGTAGGGGGAAAGCCAAGATAAGGCTAGTGAAAAGATCCTCTGTGCAGGTGTTCTTAGTCCAATTCGAGCACTGGACTCCCGTTGTTGCAGGTTGAGCTTCACATGCTGTCGTCCTTTCTTCGTCCCCAGGCCGCGATTCGATGACATGTGGGTTGAAATCGGACGCCGTCTCCGACTTTTCCTTTACCTTCCCAACATTCATGGCCGTGTGTTTTCCATCTCGCGACCACGCCCACGTCTTCATTCAAGATAGCTGAAGGAAACTTGGGTATTGAGTGAAAGGATTTGGTGTTGAGGTAAGAGAAATTCAAGCTCTCATGCATAGCCAATGTGGGTTTGTAATTGCCAAGCTGTTACCATTTTCAAGTACGCTGTCGTCTGTTGTGGTGCCTACCAGTACCAATAACTAAAGCATCCGGACTTGCAATTTTGAATAATTCCATCTTCGTTACTTCGCGACCGGTCTCAATCTGCTTCACATCTCTGGGAACCGAGGGAGTCGGCGGATTTAAAAATCACTGGCAACATTATGGTTGTAGCGGCAGCATACCTCGGTTGTGCGATGACAGAATGTAGCAAACTATTTGTGCACAGCTTATGCTTGGGTGCTTTTACTCAACCCAGTCCGACCCATATTCAACTCAAAATAAAAAATTGCAAAACTTCAAAACAAACCAAGCGGCACAACTGAAATCCTCCTGACATTCATTACCCTTTTGGAAAGTCATATGCGCTGAGAAAGGAAACCGATTGAAATGACCTCCACTAGAAAATGTGACCCAATACTGTTCATTCAAGGTGAAAAGTATTAGATCGCATGATCCACAGGCGCTATAACATCGCCCGGCGGGATGCGATGTTATCGCGCCTATGGATCATGCGATCCAACACTTTTTCTAGAGCTCCAACCCAACTGACCTGCGGTGGCAATGCAAATCTCAAACGGAAGAGAACGGACCCTACCGCTGGCGTCTGGTATACATAACTTAAGCTAGAGTACTTCATCCAAATGCATCTTCATCATAATTAAGAATCTGAAAGTTTGCAACTGCGATAAATATAAACCATGGATGTGGCTGTGCCAATGGCCATGTCGAAACAACCTTCCACGTAAGAAAGTACATCCGATAACAGTGTCACACCGGAGGCATCAAGCTGGGCACCATCAGCTGTTTGAACGAACTGGAGTAGACTCAAAATGTCTGCTATGAATATTCAAGACTCGCGCAAGCATAAGTATCTCTTGTTTTTCTCCCAGTTTTCATTTTACAACATCCACAACTTAACTCCATCAGAGGATGCTCTTGACTACCGTCACACGAGCCCTGTTGGTCATCAAAGCATGGCAACACTTTCTGGTAATTAGTACACCCATGTGTTCTCTCAGTACCTCCTTGCCTAGAGCTCGGCACATCGATGAAGTGGACATAATCAACAAGAAAACCTTCCGAGAAATATCTGATGGTTACTCAAAATCCAAAAGGCGTTTGATCCTTCTTGACCATGATGTAAGTCAAAAGCGTATTTGAGTATTCAATTATATTGCTGACTTGAATAAAATGTCAGGGTACAATCAAGCCTGTATGTTCAAGTAATGCAGCAGAAGACTATGCGAGAGTCCTAAGGGTTTTGAAGGCACTTGCTGGCGACTTCCGTAATGAAGTTTGGATCATAACCGCGAGTAGTCTGTCGGGTATCAAGAGACTCTATGGTGAAATCCCAAACCTCAACCTGGCCGGCCGCATGGGAACACAGATTCGGAGAGCTACTCCCATAGAAAGAAAAATAGAACTTCCGCACGCAGAGATCACCAAACAACTTAAATGCATGGCTACAGCAATTTCGCGTAGTATGTATACATTTCAGGAAATAGCTTCAAGTAGAATCTTGCACTTACTATTTTCCTATTTACCAAAGATATGGGTCTAGGAGATCCTATTTTATTGGGTGATTATTCCATCAAATTTGAAGAAAATAGTTCAAAAAATGAAGAACTGAAGGGTACGTTTTCCCAAAGTGAATCTTATGAAGATTTTGAAAATGAAACTAACTACTTGGAGATATTACAGAAATGGAACACCGACTGAATAAGCTCATTCGGGAAAGATTTGTTGATTATGAAGGAGGTTGTGATTACCCTGATTTTGGAATGTCAACAATAGAACTGAGACACAAAAGACTGCATAACAAGGGAACTCTGGCTAGACTACGGCTTGAAGAAACTGGACCCCCTTTTGACTTTGGAATGTCCATTGGAGACCTCAAGATGGATGAGGATATGCACCAGGAGATGAGGAAAAAAGGACTTTTTGCTATAGTTGTAAAGGAGAATGATCACCAGGATATACATCACCACTTGGAATCACAACAAATCAGTCATCAAACTCCCCATGGCATTGACCACACAGAAGACAAGCATTGGGAAACATATGCTTCTCACCGATTGAAAAACTTTGAAAAGGTCATCACCCTCCTTGAACTATTGACAAGCATCAAATGTAGTAAGGGGATTTTCAGCAAGGTTAAGCATCTTTATGATTAATTTTTCTATCTGCTTCTTCTTCAATCAAGTAAAGGAATCATGTTGCTCCTTGTAATGAATTCTGAAAGAAAGTTGATCTTATCAGAAGATTTTGCTCAATTTACCAAAAAAAATGCTTTGCTTTTAACTTAGGAGACATCATTGATGTCTACTAAGCTGTATAGTATGTATATAGTCAACCAAGTACAATACTACAAAAGAGAAACTAGCTTCATTGCCCACAGTCAAAATTTGGAACTCTTGTTTTGTTACTCAAACCGGCCACACAGTTTTGTTTAACCAAGTTCTACCATACATACAGTGACTGTGAACTGGGCAACTTCCCATCAAGATATGTCGATCTCCCAGAATCAATTCAGAGGCTCACAAGCTAGATTCCTCCTGAAAATCCAGACTTATTGGGTCTAAATTGACGTCTGAAAGGGTCCCAGATCCAAAAGGAACTGTCCAAACTGCTCTTGGACATGGCCTTCCAACCAGTCATCAGAGTTAGTTGTCCCAGTGTTCAGTAGATGAATCCAGTTGCTTGTACAGATGGGTTAGATCACTTGTTGGACAGCCTTGTCTGAAAACGGCTTCAGATTTGACAAGCAGATCTGAGGTCTCATTAGCCCCACCTATCCAAGCAGTTTAGTCCAGTAGAGGACTTCTGTTTGCCTAAATCAACTGATATAGCTATTAGAAGGGGGTCCTAAACTCTATTGGCTGGTGAAAACTTGATCTCAACCAATTTTCACCAGCAGATAATATTTAGAATTTCTTTCTGAATTAGCAAATTTGGACAACAGGAAGTCCTCTAGTAGCCAATAGCGGATTCACAATTGGGATTTGCCAGAGGTGACCCTTGTGAAACTCAGAAGTACTTACAGATGCTTACAATAGTGGTAAATTTTTTATCTTGCTGAACACATCAAAGTGATTTGATCAAGCCTTTGGAGAATTGGTTGTCTCGGTCCAACAAACACTTTGACAACCCGTAGCAATTGTGAAGTTGATTTATTCAGGCGAGGTGTAGTGCTGAAGGTCTCCTGAGTTTGTTGGTTTTATGCAAAGACCACAAAAGAATTTTATCAAACTCAGAAGCAAAAAGTTCAATTGTGAACCCCACTAATAAATCAAAATGCCCAAGTATGTTTGTTTGTGGATGAGAATCAGAAGACAAAATTTTGAACCCAGTCTTTAGAGTCCTCCTTAGCTTTATGAATCACCCCCTTTTTTGCACAGTATTGTATAAACATGTGATTGTGATCTTATGATAGGGAGGATGTCACAGGCCAGTCGCGTCAAGACAGTGATTCTGTGACATGTCTCCTGAATATTCTAGGTGATCCGGCCGGGAGTCGACGGGTTGAGTGAAAGAGGCAAGCTGAAGTATCTCATCCATCTCATATCATGTACTGCCTACGATATTTCCTACTGGTCCTTCTATTCTTCCCATTCCCCACTGCGCCCCCATTCCTCGTCTTCCTCTTCCTGATATCAATGACAGTCGAGCATAGACCCTGGTCAGTGTATCTTTCCTCATAGAACTCCAAAAAGTGATCTGCTAACCAGTCTGTCATGTTTTCTTTTAGTGCTTATTGCTCACTACTCCTCTCGGCGATCCTGCTCTCTACGTGCTCATGGAATCTGGCGTCGGTGGATGTCTCGCCGGTTTATCATCCGAGTGATCGAGACGTACAAGATCGATCATCTGCCGGGCCCGGATCATCAACGCTTCTTTCATCGATTCTATCATTCTTCAAATCAAACGATCCATCCAAGAGCTTGAATCCAACTACAAAAAAGAATCACACCGGCGGATTCAAATCGATCACACCTGAGAAGAAAGCTCAAGAGACTCACCATCGTTGTTGGTGTTACTCTAACCATGGGCGACTTTTCGAGCCGGTCTCTTCCAAGAAGATTAAGAAAGAATCGGAGAATCTCGACTCTCAGCAACATCAAGAAGAAGAAGCAGAAGAAGGAGAAGCTTATCAACCTTTGTCCCACGCCCAATCAACAACTACCACCACTGAATCTCACTCTCAAAAATTGAAGACTGATATTGATGATCATGATGATGGAACCAATGAAGAATTCGAGCTCGATCAATCGATTCGAAAACCGCGACGACCGCTCAAATCGCTCTTCTCTCCGCTCTGGAAGCCACTGATGACAACAACCAAACTCTCCTCAGCCCGCCCCTCTCCATCCCACAAGGATCCCCAAGTATCTACCAACACACCGTCTTCCCCGGCATCTATCAGACCATCTAGTCCTTCCTCTTCATCCCGTCGTCCGATCAACAACAACACAGCATCCCCGATCAAAACTTATCGTAGTTCATTCTCCAGGACTCCATTAATCTATTCTCATCTCATCCATCCATTCCTCGAACTTCTCAAACCGAAACTACCTCTACCAATGATCCAACGAGTCCTGTTGATCATCAACTATAATCTCGTGGAACTCACTCAAAAGTTCATCGGCTTAAAAATCACTCAACACATTCTTGGTTCTTTTGATTATCAATACAAGTTCGAATTCATTCGTGATGTGATCAATCATTATCGGTCTAATCTTCCTTATGAAATCAGAGTAAATCAACTCTTCGGAATCCGAATCTTTTTAGGAACCAGAGCTTGATTACATAATCTCAAAATAAAATCCAGTTCACAAACTCTTTTTTCTTTACTGTCGTTGTTCCCTCTAAAAAATTGTAACGCTTCGCTTTGTATTTGTATTTGTACTTTATTTATAT